ATAAATAATATTATATTAAAAATAATAAATTTTTTTTTCAAATTTTTTAAAATATAATTTTAAACGGCTTTTAATTTTTTTAAAATTATTTTATATAAAAAAATTATATCCAGCAGATTATCTTCTTCCAATTCTATTCAGTAATTATAAAAATGAAAAGACAGAAAAGTATCTAATTTTTTTTAAAAAAAAATATTAATTAAATTATAATAATATTTAAATAAAATTTATTTAATTTATTTTTTTTTATTAATTTAGAATTTTAATTTATAGAATCTAGCTTCTCTGAGATTATCTTTTTAATTTTATTAAAAGATATAATAAATATTTCAGATTTTAGATTCTGAAAATATTTATAAAATATAGTAATTTTAATTAATACTATTTTAATCTTACTTAGAATATTTTTGCCGCGGGGCTTTTAAAATAATATAAATTATTAATATTAAAAGCTCTAATTATTTAAATCATAATTTATTTTAATTAAGATTTTCTATAGAAAACTTTAATAAATCTGAAATAATATAAACTTAAATTTAGAAATTAATATTAAATATTATGGCTTCAAGACTTTCTAGAAATATTTATTTTTTTAAATAATATTTAACTAATAACTTTAATTAATTAAATATAAGACTAAAATATCTGGAGAAATTTAATATAATAAATCTACTTTAATTTTATTTTACAGTAATAGAAAGTCTGGTCAGATAAACTATTAATATTAATAATTTAATAAAATTTTATATTTTATAAATTATATTCTTTCTAGTATAATATCATGCCGGCCGAGATCCAGGATCAGAAAAGATATATTATTAAATTAATATTTATTAATAATAAAAATAAAATAAATAATATAAATTAGAAATATAATAATCTTACTATTAAATTTTATAATAATATAATTTATATTTAAAAAAATAGTCTTACTTCATAAGTAACAGACTAGTTTAATTATAAAATCAGTATTTATATAAATAAAAATATTTATTTTAATATCTGTAAAAATATAGATAGATACTGCTAATCTATTTTTTAATATTAAAATATTAATTATAAAACTTTTATTTTCCTAATCTAGCAGATCCTATAAATTTAATATATTTAAATAAACTTTTATTTTATTTAAAATAAAGACTTTTTTTAAATACTATTTTTTTTTATTTTTTTTAAATTTTTATTTATTTAATCTAAGCTGTCTTCTTCTTTAAATAATCTCTAATTAAATAATTATATTTATAATAAATAAAATATTATTTTTTAATTATTAAACAGATACAGTTCCCTGACTCCAGACTTAAAATATAATTAGCAGTTTAGAGAATTCAGCTACTAGTAAAAATTAAAGTAGTAGAAATAATATTATTAAAAATTATTAATAAAAAGTAATAGAATAACAAGCTTATTCTTTCTAAATATTTTATTAATTAATTAATAAAATCTGATATATTAGTATAGATCTTAGTAAACTGATTAAAATTTATTTTATTATTTATAAAATAAAATATAATCATTTTTTTAGCTTAGAAGACAGTTATTAATATAAATTATTTTTTTAATAAGTTTTGATAATACCGGCTTCCACTGCTAAATACTGAAGAATAAAAATAAAATTATAGAATTTTTTTCTAAATATTATCTTTAACTTCTAATACTAGTAGCAGGCGTTACAGGCTTTATTTAAATTAATAAAAATTATTTTAAGATATTTTAATATATTAGTAATATCTTTATAGGAATCAGTTACTTCAGAATAAAATTAGAATATTAAATATTTTTAAATATTATTTTTATAGTAGCTGTTCACATACGTGCGCCAGATAACTAGAATAATTAAATAATTTATATTTATTTTTAATTTTTATTATATTATAATCAGTTAATTCTTAAATATAAGAATCTTTTTATTACTAAATACTAAAAAATCAGAAATTTTCAGAGACTTCTTAGATTCTGGAACATCAGCTCTCTGGTTATTATAGATAAAATAATATACTATTATTATTATTTATATATTATATTTCTGGAGAGACTTATTATATTTTTTAATTAGATTATTTTACTTTTGGATATGTATATTATACTGTTCAGTTATAGTATTTATTTTTAATTTTATTTTATTTATAAGATTAAAAATTAGATTAAAAATCTTTTTGAGATTCTTTTTATATATCTTATTAAATTTTTTTTAGATAATCTTTTTATAATTATTAATTTCTCTATTCAGTAAAATAATCAGATATTATTATAAGTTTTTTTTATATAAAGCTGATCCAGCTTAGCTTTCTTTAATTATTATTATTTAAAATCAGTCAGTTAATAATTTCTAGAAATTTAATTCAGACTGTTCTGTCTTAGCTGTTTTAGTATTATTAAATATATATCAGAAGAATACTGGCAGTCTTATTAGATAGCTAACTGCATACAGTATTAATTAAAGAAATAAATAAATAATAGTAATATTTCATATTATATAAGAGCTGATCAAATATATCTTACTTAATATATCTAGATTAAAATATCAAATATAAGAAAAAAAAGAAGGAAATATAAAAAAGCATATATAAATAATAAAAATAAGTAAATAAAGTAAAATAAATAAAGTAAATAGAACTATATCATATGATACAGTCATGTGCTTCCGAATACCGCTCGCCATCACATACATGTCACAGAACAACCTAGGAGAGTTGCTCACGCAAGGCCAAAAAGACCATCATTACCCGCAGCTACCTGCAGAACCCTAGAATCCTGCTTATATAGACATGTATTACACGGGAGCAGGTGGCTCACTACCACCAATTTATAACACTACAATAAAACTTTAGAAATATCAGCCATGCTGCCGGCGTAGAACTAAAATATTAAATTTATATAAGAATTTATGAATAAATTTCATCTACCAGAAGTAAAAATACTCAACCAAAAAGTAAAAAATTTTGGAAAAAAAATCGTCCAGAGCCAGATATTGCAAGAATTGCGTGAGAGCCTGGTGTTACGGACCCCTGCTAGTTAACCTGCTAGTGAGGCGGACTCGCCAGGCAGAAAGCGCCGATAAGGGCAGCGCTCGGGCAAAACCAAAACTGTTATTTAGTACAATTACGGATTGCTAATACAACGCCCGGAACAGCCACGCATCACGTGACCATCTACCATCGAATCTACCATCAAAGGTATACTCAGGGTATACAGGAACCTCAGGATCAACCAACAATCTACTCTGAATAGTATACGATATGGTATACAGAGAATAGAATATATAAGAGACACTCTCTTATATACTTAGTTAGTTCTGTTCTTCGTGCTTAATACAACTGTCTTTAAGTAACCATACATTTGGAAGCTTAGCTACAGAACGCTCGTCCGCACTTACTTATAAATAGCTGCGCGGCACTATTCGGCCTTACTTCTTTTCTCTTGTCCACGATCTAGTTGTCTCTTAGATAGTCATCAGTCCATACCACCTCGACGTAGTTCGGCGGTACGTATACCAACGGGGCTAAGCTAACTGGGACAGAGAAGCGATCCTAGGGTTTGACACCTGGGAACTCCTATAATATAAGCTGCCGAGAGGTTTGTACATTATTAGAACATTCTAGAAATTGAAAAATAAAAAAACTATAACAGGGGAAATATGTCATCTTAATGATGAAGTATTTTCTGATAAATTTCTTTCATTTGCTTTTATTATTGACATTTTCATAACCCTAGTATCCTAGTATCTTCCTGTAAGCTTTTTAGGTCTTTTTCTTATTATTTTATTAATAGTTCTAGCATAATGTTGCTCTTAATCCTAGAAGTAAATTATTCTATGATTATGTGAAAAGACATGTGAGGCCGAGGTCTCACAGGTTGTAGGAATATAGACCCTTGTAATCTACATTAAAATACAGCAAACAAATTTTGGTAGAATATATTATTTGCTGATACTTGAATAAGAAGTTGATGGGTAAGGAGATGACCGTTCAGCCGATATTGAATATCATGTGATCATGAGTGCTACTTATTATCACAATTGAAGTATCTGGATTCTTGTACCCCCCTCTCTCTTTCTCATGCTAGACATCTTTGAATTATAAAAATATGTATTCCTCCTATTGAACATCAGTTTCAGCGGTATAACAATATGTATCATTTTAAATAGTCCAAGGAATCCTGAACAGTTTCAGCTAAGAACCAAGCTTCAGGCAAGACGTTCATTTACAAATTCGGTATAATAATGTTTATCAATGTAACGCTCTTCTCAACGAATGTCATGTGACAATCCAGGTAGGTGCCTACCTAAATCCTACTGTCACATGATACTTATACTGGAACACTCTGTGCAGCCATCTCCACAACCACATCAGGTGGGGTTGAGCCGACTAGAGCGCCTTTGATGCAGTGAAACAACCCTCAGATACAACACTTCGGATTTTCGCACCCACTATATGTGGTTATCACATATCAGGCATAGGAATGCTGAATCTATCACATAAGATTGCTGCTAACATAGTGAATGACCTTGGAATGAGGCACTGTATTTACTTGGGCGCCGGGTTTGGAAGAAGCCAAAGGCCGAAGGGAACAAAGGGGCCTCTGTGATATTGGTCCTAATTAAAGACGACGCGATGTCTCACCGAGGTCTTACATCAGATAAAAGGGTCAGGCGTTTTCTGCCCGAACCTGTTGAAACCTCTTCACGCAGTTCTAGGGATCCCAAGGCTACCTCCTCCCGAGAAACGAATCCGTCGACACAGAAGCGCTCACGAGGTCCCAACGAACAGTCACCTGAACATAAGAATAACTCCCGTCAAGCTGTATCAGAAAGGTCTCAGCAGCATGTGCGCGATAGTCCTGGAACGAATTTCATAAACTCAGGACAAGCGGTCAACGAAGCCAGTAGCTTAACTGTGCCACCTGGAGTGGCCCGGGAAGACCAGCAACTCAAGGAAGAATTACGTCCTGTAGATCACAGAAACTCCGCACTCCTTTCTCCGAGGAAATTCGCACCACAACTCGTGGAGACCGGGAAACGATCATTCCGGCGACAGCAGATAAGGCATATTCATCACAGTGAAAGCATACTGGAAGCATTGCCTCAAATTACAAAGCACACAGATAGTAGGGACCAATATACAGATGATGTCACCGGTATAGATGAATCTCGGTTTTCACATGCGAATTTGCAACGACGCCAGGAGACCAGAAGACATTCCTTTCGAATCCCTGATCTTCCAGCGATTCCGTCGAGTTGTAGCGAGGTTTCCGATGATTCCGAAGCTTCACCAGGGCCAGCATCACCCTCTGCTGTTAATCATGGACCTTCTGTGAAACAGAATGCTCATCTACATGAGCGCCATGCAAGTCAATTACCGGAGTATGTGCTAGCTCTAGCAGCCCATTCAGCAGAAAATCAACTCAAGGAGCAGGCCCTCGCGGCTTTCCCCAACGAACAAGTCTATCAGCCCGTGGATCATTTTGCAGTTGACAGAGAAGATGATGACTCTCCGAAGGATGATGAGCTACAAGTCCGCACAAAAATGTTTACATCTGGCATACATCGACGGGCCTCGTCCGCAGATCTGCCATGGGAACTTGAGTACTTGCGCAGGCATAAGGAGGAGGCCGAGATGTGTGATCGTGCTATGGCTGGAACAAAAGGATTGCATTTCTCACCCCCTGATAGGCGACCTTTTGACGGAGCTAGCGAGACTTGTGGAATCTGGGCTGGTGGGTTTGGTTTGAGACAAACAAGGCCAGGCATAAGTCCGCCCATGCTTGGAGAAGATCTTGTATTCCCACATAGTGTTTCCCCCGAAACAACAATATGTGAGAGCAGCAACGTTGAACATTACATCACCCAAGACAAACGGTATCACAATGCTGGGCTTTGGTATGCAAACCGCCACCTTTTCGATGACTGTGATGGTGGCGGTCTTTGGATGGGAACTTGTAAATCCAACAAGTGCCTTTCTCGGTTGGGAGATTCGCACTCAACGAGCCCGCGTTCAAGCGGCAATGCCGGTGGACACACTCAATGCTCAACCGAAACCTTGACAGGTTGTGAGAAACAGTCGTCATCAGATGTCTCAAGGGATGCTGAAAGCTTGGACTCGAGCCACACGAGACAACATGCTAGCGAAGAGGACCTTGACCACGAGTTGACCGATAGCTTTGTGACTCAGATCTACAATTATCTGTCCCTGGGCTATCCCTCTGTTGCTCGCTACTATGATCATGAACTCAGTATCATTTCTGGAATCTCTGTAGCAGATCTGAGACGTGATGACTTAAAGACAGATGCGAAGGGTTACGTCAGTGTTATGGATGGGGGTCCGACGGATCGGAAGGTAGAGAAAGGCCTATGTATGCGGTGGATCGCACTGCGCTTATATATACAAGAGTGGGCTAGGAAACGGCCCAAAGTGGCTGACGACGGTATTCATGGAACATGGGGAGTCTGTGAACGAAAGGGCAGCTGGGCCATCTGATACAGCTATATTATGGATGAAACGGAGTGTCCTAAATCATGGCATATAGCCAGTTGTGTATGCAATCAAGATGCAAGATCTGTGCATGGAAGTTACTGTGGTCCTAGGTATGTCTCATATTCGTAATTGGCATTATTGTCGAACTTGAACTTGGACTCCTTTTGCAGGATCAGGAGCAATGAAACCACGGCTGATACATGATTGGCATTGGTGATATCCAGACTAAATACTGCCTCAAATCTGCTGCCCACATTGAAATTATGACGTCACCTGTAGTCTCATTCTAGCAATAAATCCTCTCCGTCATCCGTATTTATGCCCTCAAATGGCATTTTACTCCGGTGAGCTCTTTCATGCACAATGCCTGGGAAGATCTTCTGTTCTGGCATACAGTCCGCGTTGAGTGCAGATTTGCCAGTAGTGCTAGTACTGCTAAAGGATGTGCTGAACTCCCCAGGAGCACTGAGAATGCTTGTTTCAGGCTCTTGTGCTGTGAAGCCCCCAACAGATGCACTTTTTCTGACGTTTGGGCTCGCAGCCTGCGGAACCATGCAGTCCTCTCCTACACTTGCTCTTTGGTATTGAGAAGTTGAAGAGTCATCGGTACATTCCAATGAGACTATGACAGCATAAGGGCCAGATCACTCGGTACTTAGATATGTAAAAGCATACCTGAACTCGAATCACCTGGTACTTGAGGAAGCAGTGGCCCCGAGGATCCCAAGTGATTGATAGCGGCAACAGTGGAACCTTTCAACCGAGCTGTTGTATCGTCCCCCGTATTTGCATGCCGCTCGATTCTAAGGAACCTAGAGTTAGCCTATATCCTCCATTCTGTTTAATAACACGGCATCTTTCGGCGCATTCCAAGGGATTGAAACCTACAGTGTCAATTCACCAATCAAAGTTTCATGTCTAAATTGTTCACGAATGTCAGGGACATTGCTTTTGGCAACATTGTTTCCTGCAACTCCCTGTAGGCAGCAGTTGTTGCCTAACCATCTCTTCTTCAAAGATGTCTCAAATCCGCTCTGTTCGACTGAATGCTTTGCAAGCTCACACATATCTACCGCACTAAACTTGTATATCTGCGCAGCAACTGAATATTCCTCAATAAGAGGCTCTTTGGTAAAAGCAAACTGCAAGGGATCATCAGTAGACAAGGAAACGTTGAGGCCTCTCTTGAAAAAGTTAGCACAGGGGTTCTTGTCATAGGTTAGAAACAGCGCATTGTTACTGAGGGGTGACATAGCAATGCCTATCTGGTCGAGATAATATAGGTACTGCAGCAGGGGGACCTTTCTCAGAAGGATTCCATGACTGATACTATGGCAGCACAGGAATCCCACTGCAAGATGATCGGGATCCCCAGCCTCGCCACAGTGTGGCCTCAAGACGAATGTGTTAAAACCGCGTTGCTTGCGCCAAGTATTGAGAGATGCGATGTTGGCAAACATGAAATATATCCAATAGCTGTACGGAGGGTTTTGCTTCGTATTCCATTCCCTTGGAATTGGATATTTCCTGTATAGTCGCCGCTCCGCTTTGCTCTCGTCATCAACACTGTCAAATCCAACCACACGTTGCAAAAAGATATGGAGCTTTGGGTGGCTATTTGGATCCTTCGTCACTTCGAATAATGGCTGGAAAACGTTTGTGATCACCTGCTCGAAATTCTCCATCATGCCGCTCGACTTGTACACATCATACAGTCGAGGTACCTGGATCAGCCAACGGACATTAGGAGAAAAGAGCTTATTATCAACGACCCAGGCTGCAAGCTTGTCCCACTCTTGGATGGATCTTCCATATATGGAGATGCGCCATTCCACCATTTGGTATTTGCTTGATTCCAAGTCAGAAATTACTTCCTTGGTTATCTCGGCCAGGTAGCGTCCTTTAATGAAATTGTCCGTTTTCAGGAATATTTCACGCAACCTTGATTCACCCACAGGGTTGTACTTGAGATTGAACTTGTCAAAACGGTGGAAGGAATCGGTGTGTGCCTGTACCACACTTAGTAGCAGAACGGTTTAAGGTAATGCTTTGAGACATACATGCATATCAAGAGTATCGATACTCAAGTCATAAGCCGTCAGATTGATACTCTCAAAGACTTCTCTTAGTGTCAGATGCTTGCCGTCGCGAAACAATACTACTTCATCGGGGGATTTCTTCATCTTGCTCTTGATGAAGCGAAGAAGATGTTTCTGATTCATACACGCAGAGTGATGAACATGTGTGTCGACTTTTCGGACATTGTAAAAATCTCTATGGGGTACTTTCTTGCTGTCGGCAATCTCTTGGTATTCGTTTAGGAGAGCATATAGCTGAAACTTCCCTTCCAAGTAGGAAAGCCGCTTGAACGCAAAGCTTTTAGCTGGGCCATCTGTTGACACGTCCGTTACCGCATCAAGGTCCATATAAAAATCCCGCAAGGATGGGATCTTGACCACAGGCTGCCGTAGATCAGCCGCTGCATCGTTTTCATAGACTTGATATACACTATTTTCATCCAGTCTGAATACCCAGCGGGACTCTCTAGGAAGCGGCAAGCAATGGGCCATGTCAAAATCTTCCCCAACATCTTGGCCCATTTTCCGTCTTTTTTGATCGATACGGGAGCTATCGGTACTTCTACCAATGTCCCCCTCGTTATCCCAGGCTGGTTCCGGGGGAGGGGGGTATATCTCCCAGTCGGGATGATCTTTCGGGTTATCCTCAGGCCCCTGCAGAGATAGTTGTATATACTTTGTCCGGCGGTCAAGCAAATTTTTCATCTTGCGACAGATAACATTCAACTCAGAAGTGACCGCGCTGCTATCTGCCGAGATGTTCATCATACCCTGAACTGCCCCCGAGGAGTCGCTAGTATTCTCTGCATTAAGCGAACGTGACAAAGACGTTTCATCCTTTTGCACATCATGTGGCTCGGGGTGTTGTCGAGACGCAGAATAGTTTGTGGCATGTTTGCCATTTGGGGAAGTCATATCTGGTTTGTTGGTCGGCGAAACAGTAGTGACTTTAATAGTTGGAGGTGACCCTGCCATGTCTCTAGGATCAGAGTCGCCTGCTAAAGTTGCCATAGCTGATGCTTCGTTGTGATGATCCCCATCAAGATTCCGAGATGCGATTTGGTGATGCTGGTAAAAGAGCTTTGCTTCAGCGTGGCTCATTGACTTTTCAAATGCATAATCGTAAGTGGGTGTCTTCAATTGTATATCCCTTGGTAGAATACTTCCGGAATCTGTTTCTGCTGAATCAAAGTCGTAGTTGTTCGGTTCAACCGCTTCTATCCCTTCGTCACCAGGAACAAGTAATGGGCCGTCGACATTACTGTTACTTTGTAGAACAACATCATTTTCCGATGGACCCTGAAATGCGCTGGCATTGGCATCCAGCCTGGGAGCATGACCTGAATGTGAAGAGGTCATCCCTTGACAACTGCCACGGCAGTTTACACGAACAGGTGCTTCCGTACAATATTGTGACACTGATTAGGTCCAAACTGTTGGAGGAAATTTAGTATGAGCAAACTGGAGCTTCACCGCTGATCGTAAACGTAAGTTTATGTAATTCAAGGTAATACCCGCTGCTGCTATTGCGCCTGCCGGGGCCCAAGATGTATTGGTTGTATCAGACATTTCTCATTCCAATATGTACAGCTGGTAAGACAGAATAGGATTTTCGGGGGCCAAATGTTTTAACTGATAAATAATCATACTAGCATTTGTATCTAATACCTTAGGTAGTACCTGCCTCGTTACTCAGCGTTTCTTGCACACTACGCGCTGGCCCTAAAACTTGTCACATGATCGCACTTACTAAATGTACTCGTTAACTAACTAACGTTAGTTAAACTAACTATGATGTGATTAGTTACTTTGACAAAGCTACTACTAGTTCGACTTCCAGGGTACACAGTATTTGGTACGTCCTCTTACACGTAACGTCATTCTGGAAGCAATCGAAAACTTCTGATCTATTTATCAATGCTGACTGGTAAGTCTAAGTATACAATGTAAATTACCATGACAACATTGTTATGCTGTTAAAGGGACCAAGGCAAGTAAAGTGTACATATAGATATATATAATAAGTACTGTGGGTTGTCATGCAAGACTTATTCGTGCCAGCCAATTGGCTGCAGAAAAGGAAGCCAGCTCTCCAGTACCTGGTTAGAACATAAAGGAACATTTGTAAAGTGCTAACTGCTAACACTATATCAAAAGCCGAGCTTTCGAGGTAACGCTCAAATCAGGACTTTGCTGAAACCAACCCCCGACCTTTAGTTTGTGGCTCGGGGTGTATAGTAGGTGCACCACAGCTTTGCACCTTCAATGCGTTTTCATATGACGTGCGGAGTAGATCAGTGGTATCTCAACTGATCCCTGGCATGCGCATTATATGTAGACATATTTCCCCCCTCTGCCACCCCGCGCCCCAATTCTTACAGTCTTTACTGTTGGATATCATCTGCAGCCAGAAATATCCAGTATCCTCCTATGTTCACTGAAACTCCATTGAGCCCGATCTTAAGCCAGATTTACAGTAACTGTCCGAATAAAAGCATTCTCTGTGGCATTCGGCACGGTAGGAAAGTTATCCGGGTGCCTGGGTACCTTATTCGTACTAATACCGAAAGGGGAATGCACCGCCTCACCCGACTATTGTTCCGGATTCCGGTCACCCCCCCATGCTCCGTAGAGAGTGACGTATCCTGCTAGTCTGGACATGACCCCTAGGCAGACACAACTACTCCTATTTACGCTACTATCACCCGGTGTTCTTCCATACATACAATTCATTTTTAGTTGATAAAGGTATCACAATTCAATCACGCTAGTATCATACAGGTTTGGAGCGTTCCTAGTGACCCTTTAGCCACGTCTGACAAGGGACAATTGTGTTAGGTTATTACACAGACATTCGAAACTTTTGTGGTGAAACCGCTGGTAGATATGGCGACCCTGAACTTATCAGCAAATGGACCTTCGATATCAAAGAGCTATCAAAATGTCGTGAACTCCTCTCTTGCGGGTTCTGACACAAGTTCTCCTACCTATGGACAATGGGCGATCTTCTCCGTTTCTACACCACTTGTCAATGCTTTCCAGAAAGAGAGTTCCAACAAAGAAAGTGTCTTGAAAGTTCAAGATACCGGAGGTGAGTCTCCTTTCCCAGCTAAATGAAACTCTTAACTGACTACATGCAACAAGCCGGAGAATTGGCGGATCTTATTGATGAATTTTCAGAAGGGAAAATACAGTTCGCTTATGTCAAGGTTGTAGATCCGAATTCGGGTCTTCCCAAGAATGTTCTAATTGCCTGGTGCGGCGAAGGTGTCCCTGAACGGACAAAAGGATATTTTACCAGCCACTTGTCTGCCGTTTCGAAGTTCTTGCATGTTAGTTCACACTTGCTCCAGGGTTTTTAGTCATCGTCTGACCCAAAGATCTATCAGGGATATCACGTACAGATAACTGCTCGCTCGGAGGGAGACCTAACCGCCGAGGGAATCATACAGAAAGTTGGCGATGCATCTGGTGCAAAGTACACTCCAGGTACAGCCCAACAACCATCCTTGACACCCAAGCCGCCGGTATCCACGAAGCCTGTTTTCACCCCTAGCCGCACTACTGGCATTGATTTGGGAGCAGAGGTATCGGGCCCACAGCGGCTAGTCCGGAGCCATGATGACAATGATGGCTGGGGCCCTGATGCGCCACCCATTACCAGGACCGAGCTTGAAAAGGTCCAACCAGCCTATAAGCCGACGAAGGTTGATATCCAGAAACTGAGGTCAGAGTCAAAGGATGCCACCAATGTAGGTGATGGGCACCGTCCTGATGATCGTGGCGATATTGTCAAAGGCGGTTATCAGCCTGTTGGGAAGGTAGATATTGCCGCAATCCGGAAGCAGGCACGTGAAGCAGGCAACATAAGTGATGATAAGCCAGAGCCTGTGAGGGGTGCATATGAGCCTGTCGGAAAAGTCGACATCGCTGCAATCCGCTCCAAAGTACAGAAACCAACCGTTTCTGTAGCTGACAATGAGCGCGGGCCTCATGAGCTGGCTGATCATGCAGCGCCGCCCAGCAGTTCCGAGCGTTTGAGAAGCTTACCGAAGCCGAAAGTGGCGAACAAGTTCGGTATTAATTCAACGTTCGTGGGCACAAAACCGCCTCTGCCTGTTGTCCCTTCTACGAAGCCGGGCTCTTCCACCGCACAGATTGGCAGTGCAAGCCGTACGTTTGCCGATGAGGGTGGAAAGACGCCGGCACAACTCTGGGCAGAGAGGAAAGCTAAAGAGCGTGGACAAGACGCTGTGTCGGTCCCGCCACCGTCTGACGGCGCTACTTCTATCAACCAGGAAAGTGGAAAGGGGGAATGGAAGAGTTCCTATAGCGGCAAAACTTGGGCCCCGGTTCAGACCACAAACACCGGCAAGTCACTCGATAATGACGTTCCGCAGCCGTACCAGGCATCAGATTCTACACCTACTGAGTTGGCCCAAACCGATGCCCAAGCTCTCCAACCAAGCGTCAGTGCTATCAGGGACCAATTCTCTCAGGGCCCTTCGCCAGACTCCCCTCTGGTACGAGACAGTGCCATGAATAGCAGCCATTCCTTTCCTTTACCTGGCCTGCAGGTCGATTCTCAGGACTCGGAGACCCCTCAAGAGTCCGTAACTCATCAAGAGCTCCCTACCCCACCGCAACAGCCTCGATCTCCAACCCCACCAAGTCCGGAGCGCGAAACTTCCCCAATACGTGTTGCCCTACCTGTGGGTAAAGGGCTTACTGATGTCCACGACGAGCAACACTCACCACCTGTAATACCCATTGGAAGTCTACAAGAGGCAGTGCCGAAAGACGACGAGCTGGAGGAGGACGTGCACGACATTGGACGGGCCACAGCCCAAGCTACTGTTGGTGATGAAGTTCAAGAAAACGGGATCAAAGCTCTCGTGCAGTATGATTACGAAAAAGCGGAAGACAACGAGATCGAACTGAAGGAAGGCGAGTACGTTACTAATATTGAAATGGTCGATCAGGACTGGTGGTTAGGGTCGAACGCCCAGGGAGATAGAGGTCTTTTCCCCAGCAATTATGTGGAGGTAGTTGCAGATGACGAACAGACCCGGGCGGCTTCAGAGCGGGGCGAGGATACGGTTGAAACGGTCTCTTCAGTGCCTGTCGCGAAAGTCACTGAATCTCCGGCTCCGGCTCCGGCTCCAGCTCCAATTAATGAGTCTACTGCGACAGCGCTGTATGATTATGAAGCCGCTGAAGATAACGAACTCAGCTTTCCAGAGGGCGCTGAAATAACGAACATTGTAAGTCGTGAATATTCAAGCCAATAATTCTCGGTGCCCCTTTCCTTCCTCTTCCCAGCATGTGGGGAAGCCTCCAATTATTGATAGCTGACCATCTGGGCCATTGCCTATGCCCTCCAGGAATTCCCCGATGATGATTGGTGGTTTGGTGAGTACCTTGGTAAAAAGGGGCTCTTCCCAGCCAACTATGTGCAACTTGCGAAATAAGCAGTGCACTCCTTGCCTGCTTCTTTATACAACTCGCTGTGTGCGACAGCCCAGTACGGTACGTTGGACGAGTTGACCATTAAGACATCCACTGGTGAGGGGAGAAGAGCAGAAGTATGCCTGCGAATGTGTGTGACTTGCCTTGGCAGGTTGTTGTGGGCTTGTTTCCTGCCTTTGTTGCTTTGTAAATGTACTTAGTATGCACTTGTTATCAATGCATGTTGTATAGTTTCCAGCCTTGTACTGCTAATTTAGCGGAGTCTGAATATTGCTAGAGTCGAGAAGATGGATGTTGTTGGTCTAAGCAAACTTCATCGAAGCAGGAAGTGGCTGAAGTTCACAATTACCTGGGTGCATAGAGTACGTAGCACTTTGTAGATAGATGCCTGGAAAGCCGACGGACAGTCTATTAACACGAACGAATTGGAGGGTTGGAAAGCGGCGCCACATTTTTATTAGTAATAATCACATGACATTGCGGTCTAACTCTACTACTACGCATGAAGTCCGGAGGAGGTAACCATTGAAGGTACTCCAATAAAGGATAAAGGGCGCTGCCCGAATTGCATACATCGTTATTTCTTCTTTGATATTTGAAGTACTGAAGAAAGGTTAGCCCCATTTGCTGTGACCGTTGGCAGGGCCATTGTGAGCATCCATTACCTAACATGACTCTGTACTTCTCAGTTATTTTTTTCCCACTATTGGCAAGAAAATCATCCACGTGTGATAAAGACATTGGGACCAGTGTCGTTGGGCCCTATTATAAAGATGACAGCTCTTAGCGAAGATTTGCTTGTAACTGTGAACAAGCTTCAAGATCTTGTCTTTAATACGATCGGAAATGACTCCCTTGACTTGCCGCAGATTGTAAGTCCCTTCAATGTTCACCCGGCCCGGTGCCACCAATGCTACGGTGCTAACCATCTGTGCAGGTTGTTGTGGGCTCTCAGTCGTCCGGCAAATCATCCGTACTTGAGAACATTGTTGGTAGAGACTTCTTACCACGAGGTAGTGGTATAGTCACAAGGCGCCCATTGATCCTCCAACTCATAAATATTCCCAGCGAACGGCACGACAAGCCTGAAAGTGATGAGGTTCATATACCTCATACAGCAGCAAGTGTGGCGGGACAGTATGAGTGGGCAGAATTTCATCATCTCCCTGGCCGCAAATTCGATGATTTTGCCTTGGTCAAGCAGGAGATTGAAGCTGAGACCGCAAGGATAGCTGGAAGCAACAAAGGAATTAACAGGCAGCCCATCAATCTCAAGATATTTTCACCACACGTACTCAATCTTACCATGGTTGACTTGCCGGGGTTGACGAAAGTGCCTATCGGGGACCAACCGTCCGATATTGAAAAGCAGACACGGGCTTTAATACTCGAATACATAGCGAAGCCGAACAGTATCATCTTAGCCGTTTCGCCTGCTAATGTTGATCTTGTGAACTCTGAAGCTTTGAAACTTGCTCGTCAAGTGGATGCCATGGGTCGAAGGACGATTGGGGTTTTGACGAAACTGGACCTCATGGATCATGGCACGAACGCCATGGATATCCTTTCTGGCCGGGTCTATCCTCTGAAGCTCGGTTTCATTGGAGTTGTTAATCGATCACAGCAAGACATTCAGTCTGGGAAGTCATTGTCCGACGCATTGCATGCTGAAGTCGATTTCTTCCGACACCACCCAGCCTATCGGAATATGGCGAACCGTTGCGGTACTCAGTTTCTTGCGAAAACCCTGAATACCACCCTAATGTCTCATATCCGGGATCGGCTTCCTGACATAAAAGCGCGTCTTAACACTCTTATGGGTCAAACTCAGCAAGAACTCGCAAGCTACGGCAACAAACAGTTCAGCGGGAAGGAACATCGTGGGTCCCTTATTCTACAGCTTATGACGCGCTTCGCTTCATCTTTCATATCTTCGATTGATGGAACGTCCTCCGAAATTTCAACCAAAGAACTTTGTGGAGGGGCGAGGATATATTATATCTTTAACTCGGTCTTCGGCAACTCTCTCGAAACAATTGATCCTACACATAACTTAACTGTTACTGATATTAGAACTGCCATTCGGAACTCGACTGGTCCACGTCCGAGCCTGTTTGTTCCCGAGCTCGCTTTTGACCTGCTTGTCAAGCCTCAGATAAAAATGCTAGAAGCTCCTAGCCAGAGGTGTGTTGAACTGGTGTATGAGGAGCTCATAAAGATTTGTCACACGTGCGGCTCGCAGGAATTGCTTCGCTTTCCACGGCTTCAAGCGAAACTGATAGAGGTGGTGTCTGATCTTCTTCGTGAGCGTTTGGGACCGTGCTCAGCATATGTTGAATCGCTCATTTCCATACAGAGGGCGTACATTAATACAAACCATCCTAACTTCCTCGGTGCAGCAGCAGCTATGTCGTCTGTCATGCAGAACAGGCAAGAACAGGAACGACGGGCAGCGTTAGCCGATGACCGGAAAAAGCGCGAGAAGAGACGGTTGAAAGAACTTGGAGCGGTGAATGGAAACCCGCCAGCATCCCCTGAGGATGAGGACGAACAGCATACAGATTCCAAGACGCAGAATATTCCTATCAGGAGTCAACCTACGAGAAATACCAGAAGCATGTCCCCTCACTTTGGTAAGGGACAAGAAGGTGGCGTGACCGCAACCTTGAATGGAGCTCATGCAAATTCTCATCAAACAGCTTTTGGAACAACCAATACCACTCGTGACTCGTTCCTCAACTACTTCTTCGGTAAGGACGGCGCGCAACCTGCCAGCTCATTACCTCAGCTGTCGAGTCAGAGCCGTCCATACACCAACGTCAATGAAGCAAGCATTAGTCACAACACTCGCCGGACTGATATGCGTGCCCCTATCATGTCAGCTGATGAGTACCCACCCCCTATGGAATATACTGGTGATGTCGGAGCTGCCGTAAGACCATCATACCCTTGGTTACCCGAAAGATATGTGCTGATCCGTTACTGTAGCCGAAGGAAGACCCCGAAGCTGTCCTCTCTGACCGTGAGCTATTAGAGACGGAGCTGATTAGTCGACTAATATCATCTTACTTCAACATCGTCAGAGAAACCATCGCAGATCAAGTTCCTAAGGCTATCATGCATCTCCTTGTCAACCACAGCAAGGATGTCGTGCAAAATAGACTCGTGAGCGAACTTTATAAAGAAGATCTATTTGCGGAGCTCCTTTACGAGGATGACGGCATCAAAGCGGAGAGGGAGAAGTGCGAGAGATTGCTGGATACGTACAAGGAGGCAGCAAAGATTGTCGGAGAAGTTCTGTAAGATTATCTGTGAAGAACAGACTGGGGAGCATCAGCTTGCGCTATCACCCAAGACATGGTCCAGCTGCTGGCTTCTGAAAGCCCGAGGCCCGGGTGGTATTGCACATCTCTGTAGTTATAGTTTGACATATTATCATCACCTGCAGTAATTCACAGTAACATCATGCGGACCAATAGAGAAGCAGTAGTGGCGCAAGTAGTTCAATTGAAAGAGACTTGAGCATCGCCTATTAGTGGCCATCGATGCGTCGAAGTCAATGGAAGTAAGATCTACGCATTGATCTGCATTCTAATGTATATATTTATAGTCATAAAGCTCGAGGCAACGCTCGGGACACACATACGAACACACAACACACACAGACGTATATAAATATATATGCACCTTTCTATCTTTACCGTGTGGAACACCTTCCCAGCCGTAACAAAGACGGGGAAGACAATTCTAGCGAAACATGACTGCCTTAATCATTTTTAGCAGATTTCACCCTGGGGCGCGCACCCTCAAAGCCATATAAGGCGCCGCCAATGAAAACAAACAACGCGCCCATGAGCACACCCGGTGAAAGGGCATTCCCAAACAGATAGATGGAGAGGAGGAGGGAAACAAGCTTCCGAATATTCAGAACAACGGTGACAGTCAAAGAAGACGATTTTGCAGAGAGGAGGTGGACTCCTCGTATGCACAAATACTGCGTCAGTGCATTAATCAAAAGGTAGATTACGCGTGTTGGAACACACGTGAAGATTGAGTGTAATTGAAAAGTATCTTTCAAAATCGGATTCTGCCCCGATAGACTGCGGAATATTGACGCAAAATGCCATCCCTCGCACGACTCTTCCGAGGAACTGATGCTTTCAAGACCGGCCGATGATGGATGGCTCGGAGGACCCATTCCAGTCATGCCCAAAACTTCAGGCCCAGAAGTTAGAGGATATGTGGGGAAAAGCGTCCGCCACTGGCTCGCAAGTTGTGCATAAGCAGGTAGAAACAGCGGTAGTGATAGGGTGTGAGAGTAGAACAGAGCTTCTTTCCAGTGGTCTCGGCCGTACTTTTCGTAGAGCCTGTCCGCATATATCCCCTGGAAAGCCGAGAGTATCATCGCTAGAGCAAGGATGGTGAATCCAACCAATGTCGTGGTTGCAGAAGTGCTCTCAACATTCATAGATTGGCCCTTAGCCTTGGCATCTGCCAAAGCAGCAGTGACCACACCCAAAGTAAGCAATAGAACCGCAAGTATTTGCCCTCGCGAATATCTCTTAGCATTAAACAAGTAACCGATAATCATAGACGCTACTGGCCCCCCGGATCTTAGAATAATGTGCAACGGGACTGAAATCCTGTATGCAAAGGCCCAGTTGTTGAGAAGATTGACTGTAACGAAAAAAGCCGTGTAGACTATCCATGATCTTAGTGGAATGGCACGTGGACTAAGATATAGTGAATGAGGTCCCGCTGACACAGAGAGAAAGCCTGGAACCGTGAAGACTGCAGTTAGAAGAAACTGCGCAAACGTTATCAGAGGACCTTGAGCGAAGATGTTAGAGAAACCTGGGATGGCAATGCTTGCTTGATGGAGATTATATACCAGAGCTTGGCTGGTCTCTAGACAGGAGTCAGTCTCGTTCAAGATCTTGCGAGTTGCGAAAGCACTCACTTGATGATTGCTTCGAGTGCAAAAACCTACCATCCGGTGTTAGTAGCGGAAGCTAGCCATACCTGGGCACATACTCACATTGGCGCAACAGCCACCAAAAATCAAGGAGGACATTAGAATAATATTCGTCCATTGAGGCAGTACTGTATGAGTGGTAGCACTTAATACACTTGTTAAGTGCCCAGAAGTGGCACCTGTAGATCCCATAACCTCATCATTCCTTTTTGCCCGCTTCAGAACCTTTTCGGAACCCACATTGGTTATCCCATTACCTGAAGTTATAGTAGTTTTGAGCTTGTAGTCAGCATTCGGTTTACTCTCTGTCTGTGTCGAAAGGGGGTTACGGTCATGAACCGAAAATTTTCGAGCGGACATTTGCTGGCCGTGTTCTGTATCAGACGAAAGAGTAAATTGAGGCCAAAGAAAGGGACAAGGGAAAGGCACGATTGGAACGAGAGTGACGTGAGAGTCGGGCTCTGGTCGAAATGTGATTATGTTATACGTGTTATTAGGTTAGTTACCTAACAGTAGGTATTACTTATACTTACTGTAAGTGGTATAGTGTGCATATTTCGGAGAAGGTGCCTTATTTCCGCTACATCTTCTTACTTATTTACAAGTACACTCATCACAACCCGGAATTTTGGAGCAGGGTCCTCCTTCATTATGATAATTTACATAGATATATATGATATATATATATATATATATTCCAAACATGGCTTGAAGCTTTGACACACACACACACACACACACACACACACACACACACACATGAGAAAGACTCTTCCATATGATATCCCAGTGTAGTCAGAGGAGTAAATATGATTAGAACTTGATTAGATGTCTGTATAATTAAAAGATTATTCTGTTTGGTATATTCTACCTTTACGCGCAACGTACAGGCATGCCTTAATAAGTGCCTATATCAAGACAACCAGCAGGCAACAACAGGCCTGCTTTGGGGATTAGACCTACTAGTACAGTCTGCTAAGTAGTGTGTACCTTAGTGGCACAAACCTTGGGCTAATTTAGGGCTTTTACTAACTAGGTACTCTCAAATATTTCTTACGGAATACAAGTCCAGTATCTGATATAGCCATTCTGCCTGGTATATGAAGGAAACTTGCTGTGGAAGAACGTCCACAAGAATACATATCTACAGCCGATCCAGACTGGCTTCAGACAGTAAATGATATCTAGGGAATAGCACCTTAGGCGTATGCTTAATGCGGATTGGATGGCCCCGCATGATATGCCAGGATATTATCGAGGCGAGTAGGGCGAGGGGAGACTTGGGAGCATGTATTTCCATGTATATTCCGTGTTGCCTAACCCTAGATGCTGGCGACCTACTTGCTGCTGGCCGCCACTAGCAATCAACTGATCATTCAATTAATAACCATCTACCGTGATCTACAGGACACCCCGTTCCCCCCATGGGAGCAAGCATCCCAGAAAGTCACCCTCTTACACTGTATTTGGCTTCCTACGCTTAGACTATTGAGTCGTTAGAATTTCATTGTTGCAGAAAAGGGTATTGCAATCATTATATCCAATTCAAGATTGGATGATATCAGTAGTCGTCTACAATATCATCATCAGCAAGAAAAAGTCTCTCCTTCTCCAGGGACGGCGGCAGCTGGGGTCCAAAAGCATTGCTGTGATATCGACGACTGGTTCGCGATGAGCTTCCTGTAGGAAGGCTCTTCCACTGTGCGGTAGATGCGATTGAAGGTAACTCAACTTGGTAGTCAAGCATTTCAAAGTCATTAGCATCACTCTGATTCTTAGTCCCGCTGAGCTTGGTAAGCCTATGGAGTCCTTGGAATTGTTCAAAGTCTCCTGCTATTAAAGCCAGATACGGCAGTTGGTGAAGAATGAGATCACTGCGTGACATCATGGTAACAGCTACAGTTGGTTTACTGCAGCTGTCACTTAAGCTAGCGGCCCCCTCAGGTTTGAAGCCCGATATTGATGGGTCCAATAGTTTAGCTGACCATATGTCTATAAGATCTTGTATCTCTTCCATATCTCGAAGCAATCGCAATGAAGCCGGAAAAAGCATTTTATATGCACTTCTTGTATGGTTCGAGCCGTTATTGGACCATGCAGATCTCTTCACAGGGCTTGGAAGAGCAAACAATATACCTCGAGTAGCAACTTGATAACTGAGGTCTTCTTGGCGCAATGAGTCCGATCCGGAGTTGTATCTACTAACACCAGCCAGCCCGAACTTGCTTCGTCCCCTTGTGTCGAAAGACAGCATATCGCTGTCGGATAACGCACCTATGCAACCATCCAGATAGTCTGTAAATGATGGACCGTTGCATGATGGAACATAGTTCTCGTGAAGAGCGCTAATGAAGGTTTGGTTATCGGTTCCGGCTTCATCCACAAGTTCGTTGACACATACTTGGGATAATTGTGGCCGCTTATGGTGGCTTAAGTAGTCTGGGGGCAACACAACTTGGGCGTCTTCAGTTGAACCTGCATCGACACGTTTGTTATACATAATCTTGCCAACGGCGTGAAATAGCCCAAGACTTGCTTCTCTCTGTGTAATTAAATCCAATGTCTCCCTTTCAAGGGGCGTAAGAGGTATGCTAGATCCTTTCGAATTCTTGGTTTTTGGGGGTGGAAATTTCTTGAACCCTCCGGAATTCATGCAAACAAATTCTAAAGACGAGATTGCACTCCGAATGTCCCCAATAGTAGAGATATTATGAAGTATGGCAGGGCCTGGAAACCTCTCACGTTTGGAAAGTCGAGCCTCCTTTTCTAGAACGAGATGCAGAGCCTTGTACATATATGTCGGGGCTATGCTATTAAAATCAAGGATGCTCGTTTTCGGGTGGTTGTAGAGTACTGGCCCTAGCAACCGATGAGCTGTTAGGCTATCTGACGGGAAAGATCGTGAGTTAAGAAGCGTTTCTGACACGACCAAGACAATTGGGGAGGTTCGCTGCACATCAGTTTCGGGATTAATGTTTTGTTGTGGTATTCTGTCAAGATACCGCAGAAGAGCTAGTCTGAAGGGAATCAGGCCAGACGCAGAACCTGTAAGCGTTGGAAACTCTTCTATGAGAATTATGCGATGTCGCGAAGCATATGCATTTATGCTATTATCTTCAAGCCCGGGAGAGCTAGCCACCTCTTCTAGGTCAAGACATTTGAACTCGTTCCCACGCTCCAGGAACTCATCAAAACGGGAAGCAATTGATACATGTGCTTTGGTGGCGGACTCTGACGAAGAAGGGTTTTTCCATTCGAGAATGTCGAAATTCAACACAGCTGATAGTAATGAAACTGTAGCCGTCTTACCGCTTCCTGCAGGACCTCGAAGGACAAGTAGCTTGTCTTCCGTTAGCAAAGAGTCAATGTAGCGAGGCATGGTGCTAGACAACTCTTCCTTGAACTGGTATGGAACGGAGAATGAATGGCGAGGTAAAATTACAAAGTGGGGGGGAAAGGGCCGATAGCTTACCTGTCGCTCTCTTCTAGCAAATGTACTGATTAACCAGCTTTTCACATCAGAAACCTTCTTCTGGTGAACCGCTAATTCTTCTATACTGGATGGAGCGAACTGCTGCGCCCATGGCAAGGTTCTATGACCGGGTTGTAAAGAATGTGATCTGGATTTAGGCTGCTCGGTGGAAATGAGGAACCGGTTGGCCATCCCAGCAGACCGTGGTCTAGGTTGGGGAGTTTTAGTTGAAACATCTTGGTCCAAGGGAGTTGCCCAACCGTCCGCCAGAGTATCTGTATCGAACGTGATGTGGCGGGTGAATATCTCATCAAACGAATCATAATCATCTTCGATTATTTCGTTGCTGCTTCCTGTCCCATCTGTACATTCTGAATTTTGCCGTTCACCGATTTCTCGCGCGGGCAATTGCTGTTTGAGATTTGCGGGGCCATAGAAGCTATGTAGGGAATTCTTCGTAGTCGTAGCATCCACTGGATGCTTGCGTTTCATTTTCTTTGGTTATTCGCGGTCTGCAAGGTAAACAGTCCGGAGCTAACGAAGAGACTGGAAGCTGACTGTAATGCTTCGTACAATCGAGATGAATGGGTAAGCAACGCCTTAATCTGAATCCTGCGCCTCCCGATTGAATGACTGTCTAGCTAATTCCGCTGACTTTTCGCGATGGGCCAAGTAATTCATGACCAGTTGATATGATGGATGTGAGAAAGCAGATGATTCACTGAGCAAAATTCAGATTTGACATTGATATGTCTGGCTAGAGGCTGATATTAAGTATAAATAAGGAAGGTGTATCATATAGGTGGAATGTTGCAATGCGGTATCGAATTCCTTCTACTCGTTACCGCCTACACAGAACCTAAGTGCTGCACTTTCTGCCCGCACGAGCCTCTCGCCCGCCGCATTAGCCTATATCTGGTATGACTTGGTGGGCCTATGCCAGTGTCTGGAGTCTCTGAACACGGACGCGTCGGCGTCCTTTGTAATTTGGCATGCGCTTATTTAGCGCCACATATAAGAAGTTCACACCCAAGTTAGATGATCAATGCACTGTATGACTACCCCCCGCTCATGACCACATAGAGCTCGGCGGAATTTCCGAGCGGAGGATACAAGTCGTTGTTCTTAGGGTATTTCATTTGCAGGTAGCAGAGATGAAACCGAGAATTACACGAGATTATGAAGAAGGACAAGGAGAAAAGGCTCATGTACACATCTCGTGAGAATAATATATATATAAATTTTAATAAGAAATGGAATGTATGGTAAAATAACGATGATTAGCAATACAGTAATAAATTACAGGGGGAAAAAGACCACATACACCATATCTACAGGGTATATATTTACTTCCACTGTATATGATGCAGTGTTCTAGCAGCTAATCTAGCCGAAGAGTACTACTAATATGACATCAACTGAGCCGGTAGCCCCTGCGCTGCTGTCCCATACATCCACATTATCGTCAGTCAAAACAACTCCCACATATATGGGGATGTCTCGTAATCATTTGGAAAATCAGGTAACAGTGTCAGTGTCGAGGAGGAGCTCGTTTTTATGAGCCACCAAAGACGTCATAGTAGTAATTGTCATCAAGGCCATCTCGCGTGGGAACTTGGGGTGCTTCACCCGCGAAGGCTACATCGTCGAAGCGAACATTCAACAAACGAATTTTGAGACCGTAATCACTAACCAAGCTTATAAGTTTGTTTGTCTCCGCGGTTATAGGCTGCTGGTTGAGAAGCATAAGCAACCCATCAAGCCATTCGGATGCGACACTAGTGGATTGCGGACAGAAACTCAACAGCGCAGATTCACCTTGCGCTGATCTGCTCGAGGTTCGGCGATGGCCATTACTTTTGTGGATATCTCCAGTCTCGTGTACAGGCTGCGAGTATCCGTGCACGGTGATCTTAGTATAAGACACAGCATGGGGCATGTCCTTTGCAGGCGCCGTCGACTGATCTTTGGAGGAAGCAGAGACATTGGAGACCACTGAAGATACCAATGAAAGGTCGACTGGAGGTGTAAAGCGCAGTCAGCTTGAAATCAAGGACAGAACAGACCACGCACAACATCAAAGAAGCAAACTTACTCTTCTCGGGTAAAGTGTCGAGCTCCGGGCGCCTCTCAAGAATGGCATTAAAATCACCAAAGTGTAAGAATCTCCTGTTGTGCGAAAGTTGTGCGTATTTCCATGAGTGTTGCTCGGTTCCCGCATCTGAACTAATAGGGCCCTCGTTGAGGAACCATGCACCGTGCAACAGGCAGCGGATTCTCTGTTCTTTAACGAATTGAAGTGCTTCGTGATACAATTCTTCGCGCATCTGCTGCAGGTGTTGGCCCCAGGCATCTTCATACGCGAGCTCCAACAGCTCCATTTGCAGTTCGCGGAGCCGACCATACTCAAAGTTCGCTAGTTCTTCTTCCACTTCTTGCACATCCTTTGTCCTAGGAGCCCCACCAACGACAGACTCGATTAAGATCCGGATCAGCTCAACGATCTTTCCGTAGTCTTCGACTTCCGCTCCGGTAGCCTTCCACAGACGAAAGAAAGCATGTAACCCCGCTACATGCAATCTGGTCCAATGCAACAGCAGAGGCTCAAAAACCTTATCAAGGTTAGAGCGAGACTCTAGTAGAAGATAGCCCTTGGAATCATCCATCTCCGATTTGTCCACCTCAAAATGCTGGTACAATATCGAGGTGACAGACAGTGAGGCACGAGCAATGGGACATCGCTGCTGAGGAGGCTTCGTGGACTGCTCCAGGAGCATTTTTTGGAACTCATCTTGATGGTTTCTGACATAGTCTGCCAAATCCATCATTCCCAAGAACCCGGTATCCTCAAACTGTGTTGAAGGACTTTCCGTCTCGAAACCAAGACGTCTCCATTTCTCAGAACTATGTTTCTTAGACTGTCGCATCTCATCACCATTCTCGACTCCCTTTTCTTGACCCCGCTCATGTGAGCTAGCCAAATAGATCCCTTTCAAGGCTCTCCTGTGCTCCGGTCTCTCCAGATCCAGATATATCTCTCTCCATTTCCTCAGAAGAACTTTGGTAAGAGACTGGAATTCGATCAATGGGTGCACGTGATCCTGCAGGGCACTACCTTGCATGAGGGAGTAGACTGCTCTAATCACACCGAGATCTTGTAGCTTCTGAATAAACTTTGGCCATTCCGTATCTGCCTCGTTCGTGATAGAGTCGCGCATGAGCGAATTGATCAACTGAAGTGCATTTGCACAGAGGGCATGGTCTGCAGACGAAAGTCTATTGACAAGCATTTCCAAAAACTGCGGGTAAATGGCAATTGCGGGCTTCAATGCACGAAACCCAAAATTCCCATCTTGTGATAAGTGATTACCCGAGTAAGGATGTGACACTATGGATACTAATATAGACATTGCACCCCTTAGGATGTTGACCAATGGGTGTGTCACTATAAGTTCAACAACCTGGAAAGAGAAGACGGTACAATATATCAGTATGTTACTATATAAGGTGGTTTGCGGGAGTATGTTATAGAAGAGACGGAGAGCTTGTTCATGTTACCTACTCTTTCAACCATATCTTGATCTACTAGATCCCAGCCTTTGTCAACTTCTAGGATTCTGGCGAAGCTTGTGAGGCTATATGCCAAGGTGTTACCACTCGCATGTAGAGTCAAGTAGCGTAACCTAGTGAGTCCACCTTCTGCGATGAAATTATCGGCAAAGGAGGGATCCCCAATGCTCCCCTGAAGTTTGAAAACTGCCATTTTGCGCACCGCATCTTCGTCACTTCCTAGTCTCTCAACTAGCTCAGAAATGCTGGTTTCCATGGTGGGAAGTAGTAGTAATGTCGCCTGGTCGCAATAGAGCACGGGCAATTGTCAAAGCGGGCGTATGCCAATCAGTAGCCGTACCCGCTTTCTGACCAATTTCAATACAAGCTGTAGATTCCAAGTGGCATGGCACTGTAAGGACTTCAGTCAACGAGGCTCAAAGGAATCAGCACATTCTATCGGTTGAGAGAGAATAAGGAGGGTGGGTTGCCAAGAGATCCCAATAACGGAACTCTCCGCACTTGGACTAGATCGAAACCGGGCAAGTCGACCCATTTATGGACACCAGGATACGTAGCTGACCTGCGGCACAATCTAAACTTGACTACTTGTGTATCTGCGTATTGGGGGGCCGGGAGTGAAGGCCTGATTGCTCTCGTCTACTCCGTCAAGTGAATCAGGTGGCAATCAAGGAGCTTTGGCGAAATGATCATTATTACGTGACCTCGTTTTTGGCTGTAACCTGCAATCAGGGGAAGTTGTGTGTCAAGTAACAAAGGAGCGCCGAAAATAAAACTGTAATCTCCTTGCTGTCCTGAGTAGATGGATTAATATGCTGGATTTCATGCATTATGAAAGGTTTTTCCTCGGAAAACGTCGGCTATTTGACAGGAGGAACAGTCTCAAACTATTTAATGAATTCATTGGTTCGCTTATACGTGAGCGACTTGAAGTTTGAGGTCAACTATTCAACGCTTACAAATTCGTTTCATGCAGGATGATAGGGCAGGCATAGACTTTCAGGGGTAACAATTCGAGCATCGAACATATGTGCTGTGCAGAGTAGATTAAATAGCTATTTTGGACAGGGTCCGTTCTGCGGAGTACGATCTGATTTGTATTTACGCTTCCCTGCATGGATCTCTCAAACATTCTCTCATAGATATCTAGAGCTTACCGGGCACTTGACTTGGTATAAAGTAAATTGATGGATACCTTTGCTTCCACCGGCTCGGCCTTCGCGGCTAACTCTCGGCGAGCACTTACAAAAGTGTAAGGCATAACGGTATGTGGGATTCAAAGGTCGTTGAAAGAAAAAAATACGTCCCGGGAGAGGATCGAACTCTCAACCTCACGATTAACAGTCGTACGCGCTAACCTTTTCGAATATTAGTGATCTAGTTATGGGTTTGGAAACTGCTAGGGATAAATGCTTACCAATTGCGCCACCGAGACCTGCTATGAAAAACTTGCGCTACACAGTGATATATACTATAGTCATGAGGATTCAAAATGAACTCGTGCTGGACATTTGGCCGTTCAGCCATGTCCTGTGGACGTGGTAGTAATACCATGTATTGTCTATCATTTGGTTAAATACTCATCTGTACCGCAAGGCTACTTCGTTAGGCAAATAAAGAACAGCGCAGAAGGACCCCTTCTAGTAAAGAATTGATTGCATTATGAGTCATTAATGACACAGCTAAGTAACTATCACTTCTCAGTTGACCATGTCAGAGATAATAATACTAGCCTAACGGCTAGTGTGCAGTACTCCGTGGAGTACAGCTGAGATGTATGGATAGGACTGGTCTTGCTACCAATAGAACCAATAAAGTAGTATTATCATTAGACGGCCATTTCTAGTCCGCTTTAGGGCTACTCTTACTGGCATCGTTCAACTGTTGCTTACAAGGCTATTTATTTATTTGAGTGGGGAATAGCAACAATTGCCACGCACCTCGATCTCTCAGAACCACAAGGAATGTTTCACCTTTGATTAGAGATAGCTATCAAGTCTCCTTGTTATTCCATTCATCGAACACCACACTCGCCCTTTACCTTGTGGTGGCTGCTTTCTCGCGTGCATTACAATAGCTCGCATGCGTTGATGTTTCAGTTTAAATGCTGTGGCTACTTTACATTCTTGCTTCATGACATTCTATTTCCTTCCGCCGACAAATCAGTCTGAATATTGTACAGCGACGACAGTTTATGATCCCATGCCACACCTCCCAATCGTTCAATGTGATGCCTCTATCACGACCCAAAACATAAGAAAGCGAAAAAGAGAAACAGTTTTGGCAGATATCTCCCCAGCTCTATCAAACAGGTCTGCAATGAATCAATGAAGCGGCCAGTATCGCTGAACGCAACAAGTGGAAGTGGCTAACTCATATCATCGATTATTCAGGCTTTCCTCATCGGCCATCCACGATACGAACCCGCAATTCTGCTTAGACAATACAGGATGTTTAGGCGACAGCACAGGAGTCTTCACTCGCCAGCGATGTCTCCACAGGAAACGACGAGTTTTCCAGCAGCCACCTGCTAACCATAAGCCACCGTTCACAGATGGTATTTCTCAAATGCCGCTGTCGGATTCGTCGCAAAACACTTGCATTTCTGGAGCCTGCTCCCCGCCAGTATCTCCTAAAACAATATGCCCAATCCCATATCAGCAGCCGCAAACACTATGTGCATCTGCGTCCTGCCTCCGCCCATGTCATATCTGCCACCGGAGACCGACTACTCGAGAGTATGTTGACGCTTATGCAGATTGTGATCTCTGTGGTGGGAGAAGCTGCTACATCTGTTTACGACATTGTGACTCTGTAGATTGCAGCGGGTTTCTCAGGACCCCTACAAGCGGTCTTCAGGAAAGGCCTGATGACGACGAATGGCAGACAGAGCGGGCACGCAAGGTTTGCTCTGCTTGTGCAGTCGAAGGTGTCACCGAATCTGGAAAGGAAGTAATAAGATGCCTTGAATGTGTACGAGGCCTCCAGTCCCAATGGCAAGCTCTTCCTCTAGACTAGGAGAACTACATGTGGGCTTGGAACAGATCCTGCGTGGATAACGTGAGGCAGTGGACTGATATCGGTTGGCGGACTCATCGAGTTTCTTGAAAGACACCCTGTCCGAACCTTAATATGTAATCATAGAAGATGGAAATTTTGATACCCGACTTAGCAGACTAATAATGACTTATATGAGGCATCCCCACACTTCCAGGTACTTACAATGGCAACGATTGATGGGACAGATGTCCAGCCACGAAGCACACCAGAAGATTGGTTGCATGTAGCCATAGCCAACGCCGCACTTCATTGTGTTTCTACTAGTGAACGCCATATCTTTTCGATTATCGCAGCCAACGTATGATACGATCATCCAGTTGTATAGATATGCCGAGGCTAGTGCCCGCTTTCTTTCAATTTATAGATCGAATGAAACTCCAGTATATAACAAGGGTCGCTTTGGACAGTCACGAGAGAGAAAAAAAAGTTACCATCAACGGCCGAATCTCATCTGAGCCCCGGCGTAGTGCCATAGGCCCCTGAGGAACCCGTGGTACTCAACAGCCTCGTCGGAATTCGTTATCCCGCTATTCCTACCACCGGTGCAGTACATTTCAGTGAGGCGGATATGCCAAGGCGGGTATCCATCCAGCTTTAAAAACGAACCAAAAACAAGGAGAAGATCAGGCTCAGGCTTCACTAGGGAGACCTGGCGGCTGAGGCCCATTCTTGTGCTGCCTTGATTGACAGGTGCTGTCGGTTGGGTTGGCTGAGTGGTGATCTCACTGATTTCTGCATCCACCAATTCCATAGTGATGTCCTCTGGAGACAATTTACCACTTTGTGACATCTCCGCCAATGTCTTGGTCAAGTCAACAAACGTTTCCCTGCCGTCAGTGGCAGACAGGAGAAGCAATGTGAGAGAACTGGCATTGTGCCTATCGGACGGCGGAACATCTTGCTGTGTATTATAAATAGGGTGGTGTGGGGCAAACAGTTGCAGTGTAGGTTGCTGCGCCGGAGACCCATAGTAAGATGACAACTTGCTCGTGATAGCTTGGTGAAGGACAGGGATGCAAGACTTCAAAACACCTAGATAGATGCATGTATTATTAGCTCTAACCTTGCCTTCCTTTTTTGCTTTCTTATTGTATACGTAGGGGTCTTGGGAACTCGGAGACATCACCTACCGGTCTTCTCATAAACACTTAGGACAGGTATCCCAGAACTCACGCTCCAGGCTGAAAGCTCCGCCACTTCATCCATCAGAATTGCAAGGGCATCATCTTCTTTGCGCAGTGATAAGATGACGCTCAGATGTTCGGGTAAGCGCTTTAGGCCTTTCACATCCTTTCGTATTAACTCAGGCGTTCGGTGGTGGTAATAGACGATGGCGAAGATTCTATCCACAACAGCATAGTAGCTCAAAATGAGACGAGAAAAGATACCAAAGATGATGTGAACAACAGTGTATGTAAGGAGATGCAACTGTGACTTGATAAATGTCCGTATTGGAGTCTTCCGAGGAACCTTCTTGCGCCGCTGAGGTGGCTTGCGTGGAAGGTCAGACGGATCTGGCAGATATGGCCTTAGCAGATTCTCGCGCTCGGCAGCATTGAGCTTCGTTCCTCGAGAGCGAATATCTTCCCTAAATAGTTCTCTATCACGCTGCGTAACCATGTCTTGTTATCTGCGGGCGCTAGCGCAGAGTGACTCCCGGAAGTTTAGAAGATGGTTGAGGGTGTGTAATTCGTATGGGTATTATAAGTACGTAGTAAAGTACTAAGTTCGGATGTCCAGGCGGCCGTGGTTAGTGGTGGGTCTTGACCTCCGAAGGACCGGATGGGATGCGAGCTTGGGCAACCCCAAGTGCTCCGTATACATGATCGGTAAATAGTCTAGATGGCATGCGGACTACTCCGTAGTTGGACAATATATATCAAGTCAAGAATTTCTATGCACATGGTGTCTAGTTGGCGGTGCTAGTATTTAAATGTTAGCCTAGAGTGATATAAATATATAATTAGTCTTGTGATACCAGTACCAGTGGCCATCCTTAAACCAGTGACCACTGCACATAAGCAGAATTCATATAGATAGATACTTGATGAAATAGTGATACTAGCAAGTGCAGATAGATATATACTGATCTGCCGGGTCCCTTAGATCTATTTAATAGTTATATACCTTTTTACCTCTCTTCTTATCCCGAACACTGATAGTCAAAGCAGAGTGTTTGATGGTCCTACTGCACTCCAAGATACCACTACTAGGAATGGAAACTAACACGATCAACTCATCAAGGAAGAAACAGCAGATACAACGCTTCTACAATTTAATTTGGCAGTGAGGCGGCAATGCTTGTTCCGTCGACCAGTTGCCCTTGAAGCTGTGCAGTTATGTAATCCGCTAGGATAGAAAGCTATCTAATCCGTCCCGATAATGGACCACCTATCTAGTACTACTCCGTACCTGGCTGCCCCGTAATTCTCATTGCTCTCCTCTCCGCATTCACGGCGCAATCAAGAACATTGGTTGTTGACGCTCATGCTGAAGTCCATATTGCCCCAAAATCCAAGCTGATATCAATGCAGATTGATTCAGCTTCTAGTTATAAAAATGCCGGACGATGCGTCCACGATTACCCCACTCAACGCTGCATCTCGATCAGTGTTCCCAACAGGTCCCAGCTTCACTCTTGAAGACTTCTCCAGTCGCGACTTTATTGTCAAGGAATTTATCGAGGCGCTTTCGGACTCCGCCATTTCGAATCGTCGTTCTACAGTCACTCCCACAACCGGAAACCAACCGTTTGACCCGAAGCCACTTATCAGGACTCTTGAGCACGCACAGCGGCGACTCGGTGAAATCTCCGGCGACCTAGAGATCAGAGAAAATGAACTGTCTGCAGCAGTTCGCAGGGCCGAGGCACAGCATTCCCAGAACCTCAATACACTGGGTAAAAAGCTAAAACAGACAATCGAGTCTTTCCAGCAGCTCGACACCTCGCTTAATGGTGCTGAGCTATCAGGTGTAGAGCTTTCCGGGGCTACCGGGAATATGGCAGTCGAGACTGGAAAGAAGTTGGAGGAATTAGACCGCCAAAGACGCCGGGCGCTTGATGCCCGCTTTCTGCTCGAGTGTTGGGATGGTGTGAGCAATAGAGGCGAGCTAACGCTTCTAGAGAACCTGAGACGTTCTGGAACTGGTGAAGCTAAAGTACGGTCGGCACAGATCGCGCGGCAACTGCTTCGAATAAGCCAGAGACTCGATACCGAGAGTTGGAACGATTCGAGTGGAAGGAATGCTGGGCTCACCGGAAACGGGGCCATATCTGCAGACGAGAACACAAATGGAAAAGGGAATGGGACCAGGCGGAACACTCGTGAGATCATTGAAAAGTTTTCCGAAACTTTGGAGAATGATTTGTTAAAGCAATTTGATGACTTCTACCGCAAGGCAAATTTTGAAGGCATGAAGGACTGCGCAACTGTACTTCAGGATTTCAACGGTGGTGCTAGCGTCATTGCTTTGTTCGTCAACCAACATCAGTTCTTCATCGATCGAAGTCAGCTAGTTACAGAAGAAGTAGGAGGTGATCTAGAGACTTGGGAGATGCTCGCAGACCCCGATGCCGAACCTCTGAAAGTGGAACCTAGCCTTCAGTCTTTGATCGACGAAGTCAAGGTCGTAGTGCAAGAGGAATCAGCCATTATCCGGCGGGCGTTTCCGTACTATGAGCAGGTCCTCGGGAAGTTCTTGCAACGCGTGTTTCAACAGTCTATTCAACAGAGATTAGAAATGGTCTTGGAAAAAGCAAACAGCGTCTCATCACTAGCATTTTTACGATCTTTACAGAGCTCTCGAAGTTACATCAGTGCTCTTGTTGATGATCTGAAAAGCCATGGGCTGACTGAACACCCGGATCCAATCTCTTCACAAACGGCTTTGGTCCTTGACCAGCAGCTGGAAGATTTGTTCGTACCTTATTTTGTTGGGTCGTCATATATAGAGAGGGAGAGAAGGACACTGGAAGAACTCTATACGTCCTTGCTGTTCAAGTTCACTACCTTCCATGCGCGCAGGAAAAAGGCGGCAACGACTTTCATGGCTTCCCTTTCCAAGTCCGGTACTGAAATGCTATCTTCGGCTCGTGACGCGTATTTGGGTCGCCTGGAGTCTTCGGAATTTCCTCCAACCCAAAGAAGAATGCTACTCCAAGTGGCAGGGTTAAGAGAGTCTAGCGATCTTACAAAGCCTACTGATATCAAACTGACTGAGGAAGACGGCATCCCGAGCATATCTTCTGCAAAGAGGATGCTTAAGTGGCTTGCCGAAGCAGTTGGAAGAGGCTTAGAGCTTAGCGTGAATAGTGAAACCCCAAAGGATATGCTTGCACTGTTAACTCTCCTCCTTTCAGTAATGGGAGAAGGGTTCATTGAAGTGTCTCTAGATGCAGCACTGGAAGCAGCAACATCGCAAGAGTCCGGAAGAGCAGAGCCAGATTTTGCATATCTACCAGCTATTCGAAATGCTATTGGTATTGCGAACTTGATGGTTATGTGCATAAATACTTTGCTCATTCCTCTTGCGGCGGGTAGTATCACTATTCGACGGGAGATGGAGAAGAAGACAAATCTCATCACTATGCGCATAGAAGAGAAGATCAACGTACTCGAGCAGAAGGTCATTGACAATACACTAACATGGACTGGAAAACTCTTGTCTGGCCAAAAGAAAAATGATTTCCGACCCAAGGAGGGTGATAGTACGGCTTGGTTGGAAAAGCTACAAACACCTGTGAGTCATGATGATGAAGCCTACTCTCCACCCCTGGCAGATTATACTAATCTATCTTAGACCTGTGCTGCAATCTGCACATTCTTGACTCGTGTGCATAACGTGGTGAAGACATCCTTGCCGCCCAGTGGCTCCAATATTCGCCAGCTGCTGACCGAAATCGCTATTGGAACGCGTACTCTCCTGCTAGATCACTTCAAGCGGTTCGTTGTCAATGG